TTCCAAAGGTCCCAGTCATCCCATAGCCGAAGCCAATATCGCACGACAGATTTGAAACTGACGGCAATGTTTTCTTCGTTTAACACTGATCTACCATGATATTGACGATTCCGCTGACTGGCACACACACACACACACACACACACACACACACACACACACACACACACACACACACACACACACACACACATATATTCATTTATACACTGTAGGTGTGTGTGTGTGCTACGAAAGGAAAGGAAACATCTAAAAGGCGGTCTTTGTGTGGGTTAACTTGAAAAGTCTAGTAATGGATTGTTCCCTCTGCAAAAGCGTCGTAACCACACATTGCTTAGGGGCCTTCCAACTTACGCGTCGGTTTAAGACTTTGATTCATATTCATTTACAGAGAAAATGCTCAAGTAGTAAAGCTATAATGCAAAATAAGAATAGTAAAGGTCGTTATCAGGGTAATATTAGGCGATCGCTGTGGACTTTACCATTACTCGGCCGGGCAAGAACCAACAATTCTTCGCATATTCTTGCAAGATGAGTCATACAGCACGAACTGGTTCTGTAATCGACAAAACTGGATCTAACAGCATATAAGTCGCAGCGCATATTAGACGTACCTCCCTTTCAGAAAGGCATTTTCAGAAAAGATCTTTTCATGTCTGCCCAGTTTGATAGCATCCAAAAAGTTATCTAAAATTCTGAATATGCTTGGCTACTGAGGAAATTACAGTTAACGCACCTATACCTCTTCCATGTGACATTAATGTTTCTCTGCGGTTTTACTGTTATGTTTATCAAGTTAATATTTAACATTTTACTTGTTTTTGTTGTTCTTGTCGTTCTTGTTTACAATCTTGCATAAGACAGCAAAAATGAAAATCTCAGTGATTTATAAAGAAATATTTTGAGATTTTTTCTGCAAAAATATGATTTTTGTGTACATTTAAAGATGAAATATGCTTTCCATCGAGACTCCCTGCTGTAGTTTATGGAGGGGTCTATATGTGTACTGAGTACAAAGCATCAATGTTTAAGTTAAAATAAAGTAATAATACTTCAGTTTGGATTCGCTCTAACGATCGCTACCGTCCACCGTCAGCAAATTTGTTTTAATTTGAAATTGTCCATTTCCGATGTAAAGAGCACTTCAATATGAAGTACACCTCAGGGGACGGAATTTTAAACTACAGAAAAATAAGTGAAATATCGATTTTTTATGTTGAAGATGATGGTACACAATGATACGCTCGAAAATAAAAACTGTATGGAATTCTGACATTAGTTTTATGCATTCGCTTCGTATGAAGTTAACACAGGTACTGCATTATTTCCATGCGTTTCCGGTGAAAAATGCAACCTGTGGACGCTACCATAAGCCGCAGGTACCATAAATACGTAAAATACCGACGCCATCCAGGCGTCCGATTATTTTGTTCACTTATTTGCAAAGATAATGCATTCGCATGACAGAACACCAACATTATTCTGGTTTACCATGCTCACCGATTTTTGTACTTTATGCTCATTGGGCTCATATATATATATATATATATATATATATATATATATATATATATATATATATATATATATATATATAGTTAAAATAAATGTTCTGTCTTTGTTTCCATACACAGGAGCATATTTAATATGGCGTTAACTGAGAGACACAGGCAGACAGACAGAGAGGGAGGGATGGAGGTGAGGGGGAGGGAAAGCGAGAGAGAGAGGGAAGGGGAGAGAAAGAGAGATGGTGGAGCAAGAGAGAGAGAGAGAGTGGGGGGGGGGGGAGAGACATGAGATAGAGAGAGGAGGGGAAGCAAGAGAGAGAGAGAGAGAAAGGACGAGGCAGAAAAAGAGAAAAAGAAAGAGTCTCTGGACAAGCATTGAAGTCGTTAGCTAAACTCCAAGTGCGTTGAACTCTGGTACCTAAAAAAGACGGCTATAGTGATATTCATCCTATAGTATGCTGTATATCGGTCAATAGCCTAAATAATTATTTGTAATCTATCTTTTGTTGTTGATATTACGTTATGCATTATCAATTAACAACGGTGGTTTTATATGTGCATGTATTTATGTATTCGCTATTCATATTATACCGTAGCTGAAATTATTTTGCGTGTCATTGAGAGATGCCTGAGCGCTTGGAAGTGGATGTAAGTAATTATTTTCTTACATTTCACATGGTATTTTTCCGTATTTAGGGAATATATATTCATATATTAAATATGTATATATGTATCATTTATATGTATATATATGTATATATATACTCATTTATCTATTCATCAGTGCATATGTATATACACAAACATACATATTTACAATCAGTATCATATATCTGGTTTGTTTGACATAGCTTGTTAGAGTAACAAAATTAACAATTGGTAGCCTTTGTTCATTTTAGGGACATATATATGAGCGCGCGCTTGTGTGAGCGTGTGGTTCTGTAATGATGTCATATTCTTTGGTAAAGATTCAAGATAGATATATTGTTTTAGACAGATAGTTTTGTTTTAGATATGTAGTGTTTCGAGGCTCCCAAATAGAAGTCATTTCCGCTGGAGGAGGACACAGTTGTGTTTAATACTCCTCAACTCTCCACGAAGATCCTCTCTCCTTCTGCTGAATGTAATACAGTGTAAATCTATCCATATTTGACGATTAATATAGGTAATTCTGTAGATTAGCTTCAGCTTTATATTTTTCGCTGTAGCAATGCACTGCCGCAGGTGTGTCGAGAGACCTGTGGGGAAACTCCCTTCTCCTGCAGAATCGTCTAGAGGGTGACTTTGGCAACACTTTTAGACCCTCATTCTCACATTCTATGTTAGATTATAACTTGACACTCTGTCATCTTTAAAGTGTCCAGAATACACCGAGTGCGTTAAAACTCACTAATACATTTTAATCCAAAACATAGATTGGTATTCTGATTCCCAGTAGGAAGCTAAATTTCATTTAGTGAAATTATAATTATCCACATATAAAAAATCGTGATGTCCTGTAACTTTTTGCATGACCTATTATGGTTTTTGAGGCCAAAATATATGGAGACGAATGTTATAGTCAGGTATGATAACTTACATATAACCAGTAGCCAATATATATTACAGATATAATACATAAACACGCGTTAAATGTATTAGATATTACATGCATCGCATATTGAAGTCCGCATTTTATATACCAACATGGCAGGAGCGGGGGCGGGGAGCTAGAAGAGTTTCTAGTGACTTTTGGAGGACCTTCCTTTACACTGTAAGTCAGACAGAAATAGGGATTCTGAAATTGTGTGATAAAATCTTGACTCTCTCTCTCTCTCTCTCTCTCTCTCTCTCTCTCTCTCTCTCTCTCTCTCTCTCTCTCTCTCTCTCTCTCTCTCTCTCTCTCTGTCTCTTACTCTCTCTCTCTCTTTCTTTCTTTCAATTAAAAAACCGTGCTCCTGATCCCCTTCAGACACCAGTGAGTATTACGTGACAAGTACAATACAACTAATAAACAACAAAGCTGTTGCGTTTTTTTGTAAGTGTCAATATGCACACTACTTATTACGAAAAGACAATCAAAGTCATTTGTTTTACATGTTAGAGCCAGCATATCAAAAAAGACATTAGTTGTATATGTAACTGAGTGTCAAAGATAATCATAAAATGGTATATTTAGGTGATATGATAATACTTATCACTAAAGATAATCATAAAATGTACTATTGAAATTATATTTTTCCTTTCTGTACTCTTACACTGTACAAGTATTTTTGCATGAAAAAATCTCGTAATTTTATAAGTGTTTTTTTAAGATTCCTAAAAATGGGATGTCTCAGTATGGAAAAAAATAGTCCCACCTCCAGCAAATCTTGCAATACTTGCAAGATTATGATGTCCAGACCAGTATTTACATGGAATATACGATCCGAACCTGGTACTTGTTTACAGTAGTAGACTTCCAAGGTGTCTCGACATATATTTCCCTGCAGCACCTTCATCCTTGTCATATCCACACTGATCACAAAAGACCTCTTCCTTGCTTCAGTGTCAGCAAATTTACCATATGACCAGAGGTAATATGCATGTTTGTTTTTGTTTTGAATTTTGTGGTCATATATCTCTAAATAATTCCAGTATATTATCTATGAAGCCCATTACCACTTCCCCCTATTTCGTGGTACAAACCAAAGTTCGCTATCATTCTTAACCAAATATTTAAACGTTTTACATGCTGGGTATCTTGGTGAAAAAAAATCATGTAGCCCATCAAATGATTCACCTAACAAAACAAGTATAAATACGGAGGTATGTCTGTTTAAACCTTGGAAGCCAGATCCTCGTACAGATCTAGATTGCATTTAAAGGATTCGTGGCCAATGCGATCCACCACAGGAAATGGATTGGAATGTTCGTTTTCCTTTTTTTGTTGTTGTTGTTGTTTTTTGTTTTTGTATGGTAACTTATGTAGATCGAAATTATAGTTGAGGTATTACCAGAGATCTGAACTCCCAGACATTTATACCTTACGAGTATAAATGTCTTACGAGAGTAAAGTCACAAATATAGGATAACATGTAACTGTTCTAGTCTTAGTTCAAACTCTTGAAATAAAATCGGAACAGTAGAATCAAGCAAAATGTTTGAAACACTTCAGATCCCTCGCCAGAACAGGTATAAATGCATTATTCATTGCGTAAAATTAATAGGAAATGATTGCCCGGTGAGTGTTTAGCTTGAAAACGAAATATAATTCTAACGTTTTTACAAATACTAGGTTATAAAACTGTTGCCACAAATGTACATTCAAAAGAAAATAACCGCCAAAATTGTTGTTACAATTAAAAGAATGGCGAGTATATATAATTTTATTTAATGATAAGTGACCACCTTTCGTTAGGATCACACACCTGTCCTTGCGTAGACGTGTGCGTATGTGTGTGTGTGTGCTTAGACATGTGTGTGAGACAAGCATATAAAGTCAATCAAAGAGGATCGCAGTAAAACAAAATCAAATTTACATATTACAGATCTATTTGTTATAAATCTTATACATTATAAAAACGGAGATATTTCTGAAAATACAAAATGATTTTCAGTCCTACTTTCTTAGAAGCACTTGCGGTGAACGATGCCGGGACCAGACTCTTCGTACTCATCCTTGGTGATCCACATGGACTGGAAGGTGGACAGAGAAGACAGGATGGAACCACCAATCCAGACGGAGTATTTACGCTCGGGAGGAGCAATGATCTTGATCTTGATGGTGGAAGGAGCAAGAGCAGTGATTTCCTTCTGCATGCGGTCAGCAATACCAGGGTACATGGTGGTACCACCAGACATGACGATGTTAGCAAACAGATCCTTCCTGATGTCAATGTCGCACCTCATGATAGAGCTGTGGACAGTTTCCTGAACACCAGCAGATTCCATACCAAGGAAGGAAGGCTGGAACAGAGCCTCAGCGCAGCGGAAACGCTCGTTACCAATGGTGATGACCTGACCGTCGGGAAGCTCGTAGGATTTGTCCAGGGAG